CTCCCGGAAACAGTTTATTCCTGAAAACTTTAAATTCTGCTGAATCAACTACAGCCAATTCTTTTATTTGACCAGAACCTGTATTCAGAAGTCCTTGCCTGTGGATTTGTTCAATACACATCATTACCTACATTTTAATATATGCGTGTGTGTCGCCGGGGAAACCTGTCATCGGGCTTCAATTATAATTTGTATCTGACATATTCTTTAATGAATTAAATGATTGTGTCCAGTACAAAATATAATTGAAAGCCCGTTGGCAGGTCTTCCTTAGGCGGCACTCATATAATGTTTCGTACTTACCATCCAAGGTAAAACAATTGAAATCTTAAAAAATAATCATTTTCGGTTCTAATACCCAAATTGGCATAAATGAACCACAGCCCTTTGTTTCCCTGCTCATCTGTGTATACATGACAAATTTCGCTCCTACAACCAATGAGGTTTAATATGTTTTCTTGAGGAAGGTGAGGATTGGAAGATCTTACCCAGACAGTTGTGCAATTTTCACTGGAACGATCATATAGACTAGCGTGTAATTGAAAAAACTGAGAATCAACATTTCTTATTTTTTTGTTTTTTGGAAATTTTAATAAGATGAATTTAAAATAGATAAAAGAGATGAGAAAAAATATAAAACAAATGAAGAATACATTTAAAATGAAGGTTGAAATTGCATACTCAATGTTCACGGGACCTGAAGCCGTATAAATATTTAATTTTATGAAAATCGGAGGGGAAATTGAGCGATAATCCTAATTAAAGATCAAACATAAACAATATACAGTTAATTTGTGCATAATGAAGTGATATTTTCTGATATATAATTTAGATAAATCTATTAATAAAGAAAACTATAAAAGTTTCAGAAACTAATAAGCATTTATATAAAAAATTCATAAATTTGTTATATAGCGTTCATTGTAACTGATTAGATGTAAAATTACCTTATTACCATAACCACAAGCGCGAGCTCGAATGGGCTGTTGAACGACCTCTAATTTGAATTTCCAATCGGCAGGTAACCTTCAAAAGTTTAAGGTTATCCAAAGTTTATTTTTCATGTTGGTAAACGCAGGTACATGGAA